ATTCAGATGAGGCCAATGATAACTAAAGAAATCGTTCACACACTTAAATTAAGGAGAAACTACTGTGTACAAAGAGGTATCATATTACGGACTAGTGATCCGAGAAAAGATCATGCAGCCATCGGCCACTAGGAACTTTGTTTACTTTATTCTCGTGCGACACTATATGCTATTCCCTCTTCCGCTCTACCTTCATCTCTCTCTCTCTCTCACATATATATCCCTGATATATATCCAGAACAAAAACATGTTCAAGCATTCCCTTTCTGCGTGGTAGTGTTCTGTGGCTAGCAAAAATCATTTCCTCGCTAAGCTCACGATTATGGCAAAATAGTTGCCGGAAACCGCAGACGATACTCGTCGCTAGTTCTGGCAAAACGGCCGATACAATCTTTTTTTCGCATTTCCCCGCTCGCTGTCAAGGACAAGGGGGTTCGCTTCAACCAGCAAAACATGGCCGCCGACGCCTGTTTACTGAGCAGTCATGCCTGTCGCCATCTCACTCGCTGGCGTCACGGGCGATAATATCAGGCACAAAGGGGCACACCAACCGGCAGCATTATCCCCAAATACTCGAGCCTCGCGTAAATACATAGAGTGTAAACGCTGTCGCCATGTTATCGTAGTAAGACCGCCCCCCCCCCCCCCCCCCCTCCCCCAACGGGGGACTGCAGTACGCGACGGCGTACTAACACAACGGCGACGATATCGACATCGCGGGCTCCGAATTTTCCCATAGTTCTACTCCACGGGCATTTCTCGAAACGCTTGATATTGTGTACGCCCGCCTGGAAGGATTTCTGGCGCGTAGTTAAGATAAGGCGGTTCTCCGCGGCAAAAGAAAGCAATTTCACAAAAGCTTAAAAGCGGCGGCGACGCGTGTGCGGTGAACGCTTGTAGTTTTGGTGTAGACAGGGTGTGTGTGTTCTCGTTGTTGACACCAGCCGGCGATAAGGCACTGCAGGCGGTAGCTCAGTACAGCAAGGGCTAATCCGAGTGACCATCAACGTAACCCCACCGCCAACCCCTCGCGAACCGGTCGCCGACATGGCTCAGGCTGTGTCATGAACCACGTGGTAGAAGCTCGGGTGCTTTCATATCAGCGCGTGGAGGGACGACAGTGCGATTCCGGAAAGTCTTTTTCGAAGGCCGCTGACCACAATTTTTTGTCTGGAGACTTTCCCTCTTTCTTCCTTTGACGTGGATCAAGCTTTGCCGACAGCCTCAGTTGTGACCTCTCTTTTCAAATGTACGTTTGCAGTGAGTGAGCTCCTCAGCCTCGGACTTGTCACTTGTGCACCCAGTAGTTCTTTCACTTGGCAATTATATGCCATCAGTTGGGGTTTAATTTCGATTATTTATGTATACATTATGAAGACGTCCTGGAGCTCCGAACGAGTGTTTTGTGCAGATTACTTTTGCAAACACAAAAAGACTATACCAAAGCAGCGGAATTTTCGAAGTGTTGGCGAGTTGGACCTAAACTCGTTGAAGCAAATTCTTCCGCCTGACTGTTCCACCAAAGTGAGTGCGACGGACTACCTGTGCTACCATTGCTTCATGCACATCACTAAGGAGATCTCGATGCGAAGCTCAGAGCAGTGCCCTGACATATTTGTGCCAGCTGAAGAAGCAATTGAAGATCTAAATCGCAGCATACTACCTACAGATGTGTCGCCGCTGAGACAACCAAGCGTCGTAAAAAGTCGGGACAGGCCTGCCTATGTCAAGAGAAAGCAGACAAAACTGGAGCAGGTTGCTGTCAAGAATATACGCTCAAGGCTACGTATTGCGTACGACAGGGACGCACCATCGGGGTCGTCCGAACCAACATGCTCCACATGCACTGAGTGGGTGGACAACTTTCGGCAGGCCTTTGAAACCGCCACCTCTCTCCGGGAACGTTGTCAACTGCTTACACTCCTGCCGTCAACACTGACGAAGAATGAGGTTCAAAAGATGATTCCACAGGCCTCAATGTACCTCATGAGTAAATCCCGAAAACTCAAGGAAAAGCATGGCGTGTGGTATGAGCCGGATCCTTACACGAGGTGCAAGGTGAGCCCTGAGAACCTGTCTGCTGCCCTAGAGTACTTCACGAAAGACGAGCTACAATGTTCGCGCCAAGGTCCCAACCAGAAGGACGTCATCTCTGTCATGCTCAACGGAGAGAAAACGTTCGTGCCAAAGCGCTTCATGACACGCTCAATACGAGAGGCCTTCCGTATATACAAAGACAAGCATCCCGATTCCGGCGTTGGGCTAACGAAATTTTATTCGTTGCGCCCTAGATGGGTCCAATGTATTCCACACCAGGAAGTGTGCGTTTGTGTGCGCTGCGCCAATTATTATCTTTGTATTGCCGCTCTAGAGAACGTTACAGGCTCAACATTCAACACTGGTGAAATGAACTCGGCATTTCTGTGCGACCCAGCAACAGAACTGTGCCTTCAAGGAGACTGTGATCACTGCCCAAAAGGCCAGTTTCTTACACTTCAGGAACTTGATATCCCGGAGGATGAAGAGATTGTGCTTGCAACATGGGAGTCCGGCGACCTTGTGAAAAAAACTTTGGAACCTGAGACTTTCCTAAAAGTCATCCAAGTGACGGTTGGAAGTTGGGTACTTCACAACCATATCCGGCAAACGCAAGGTAAAGCGATCTACGATGAAAAACAGTGCATGCAACGCGGGAGCATTGTCTTTCATTTTGACTTTGCTGAAAACTGGACCATCGTGCTTCCTGACGAAGTGCAAGCATATCACTGGAAAAAAAAAACAAGTTTCGATATTTACATGTGTAGTGACGACAAGAAAATCTACAAACAGCTTTGCCATCATCAGTGAGGACCTGTGTCACGACGCCGCTCACGCTTGCTTGGCTCTAGAAAAAGTGAAGGAGTGGGTTGAAGACAACGTTGCGGTATACTCGTACGTGACGTACGTAAGTGACGGCGCCGCCAGTCATTTCAAGAATCGCTACCAGCTTCACCAATTTGCAAAGGACGATTGCCCACAAGCCCAGTGGTTATTTTCTGCATCTGGACATGGGAAAAATGCATGTGACGGAGTTGGCGGACTCGTGAAGCACCAGGCCACGCTGAACAACCTGAGAGAACGTTCAGTAAGCGCAATTCAGACGGCCAGGACAATGGTGAGCGTTCTATCAAAGAAACTGAAAGGCGTGCATCTTGTATATCTGGACGAAAATGAGGTTGTTCGGTATCGTGAACAAAAAAAAAGAAGAGTGGCTGACGGTGCGCGCCTTCCCTGGCATTCAGTCTTGGCACGCGTGGCGGCTCAGCAAGTCATCAACAGAAGGGACCTGTGACGTATATGTAGCACGGACAGTCGGATCTGTTTGGAAGCAACTTTATTAAATGGGCACAGCGAGGAAAACCTTAGCGTAAAGTGCCGAATTTGATTTCCCAAGGACTGCTCATTTTGAATGCAGGGACATCTTACTTATCACATTTTTCTTCACGGGGTATTTAACCTACTGTTTTTGTTGGTGGTTACTAATAATTTTTATCTGATCACTATAAAAAAAATCCCGAAATGTTATCCTCGAGCAGGATAAAATATATCGGCTTGCCACGATTCATTCATACACCGAGAGCTTCGAAGCTGCTCCAGTTAGGCACTATGGCATCCGTCACCTGAAATTGTTTGTAATCGTAAATACACAGCCAACCTAAATATCTTACTATTATATCTTTGTTTTTGTGTGTGGAAGTAAAGTTATTTATTTTACTCTAGATGTAAAATATACCGGAAGGTACAACTTCACACTGCATCATCTTTTCTCAAATCATTAGTCTCTAATATGATACCACTTTGTACGCTTATGTAAAATGCTGTATATAGTTTCTCCTCCCTTTTACTGTGTGACCGATCGCTCTTTTTATCAATGACCTCATCTGAATAAATGTATATAAAAGATTTGTGCAAGTTTCATGAAACTGGAACTCAGAGTCACTTCTTGTATAGGACACTGCTAAGTGTAGGCTTTGAAAAAGGACCCTACTTTGGGGAGTTGTTTCTTCTTTCACAGTGCTATGATGCAACATGTTTTAATAGAAATGAATGCCGAAATAGAGTATAACAGGGTACCCAAATTTAAAAAAAAATCGAAGGTGGTGTTTTTTTTTTTATTCGCATTGGCATTTTTCTTTGTTTGATTTTTTTTCCCATGTTTGCCTAAATATATTGTAACTATTGTGTCACTCAGATACCTTATTTATTTTTTCAATAATAGCCATATATTAGTAAAATAATGTCTGCAAGTTATGTAATAATGATTACATTATTTCATGAGATACAGATTTCCAAAGTTTGCCATTTGTCGTTCGAGCAGGCATGTTTGGCAATTTTTAGAAAACTAAATAAATTTTTAATAAATATTATTACTTTATATTACAAGCAAGTTGTACCCATAGTTTGTTTGTAAAAAGTTTTAAAATTCTCCTAATTTTATTGTTTTAATTATTCACTTTCAAACTTGCCCCCTCCATCAGTGCGCGTTATTGCAACTGTCCACCTCTCCCTGCCTTACGATTTTTCTTGTCTCCAAATTTTTTTTCTGGTCAAAACTAAGTGTGGATTCGTTTATACCAGACACTAGACAATGTCATATAAAAACATCAGTTGATTTAAAAATGTCGACCAGCCACCCTTTGGTCGATCTTATCTGAAATCACCCAGCTGACACATCGCGCACCGCGTCCGCTCCTCGAGTTTTGTTTGGTAAAACCTTCCGGACGCACGATAGACCACGACGAGCTGGTCGCGGTCCGCGTCTGCTCCTCGGGCCCTCGCGGCCACGGCGTCGCACGCCTCGACTCGTTCACGTAAACCCTACCGGACGGAAGCGAGCGCAATGGAACGGTCACAGCCCATACAACAAATCACCCAACTCGCATGTGATAGGGTCACGTTACTGCAAGTATCGTTTAAACTTTTTATGACCAGGCACCAAAAAAGTCGTCGCGTGATGCCCTCCCCCGTGGTCGAAGTCGTATCTCGACGTAATCCAGTCGGACGCTACCTTTATGCATGGCAAACACACACACGAACGGCGCATAAAAACAAAAGCTATATTGAGATTTATCTCGCCAAGTGGCGAGCGATAACGCTTTCTAATGTACGCAAGGGGTGGCGTGTTCCTCCATGCTCGCCCCTGTCGTCGTGGAGGAACGGCGATCACGTGGAGAGTGAGAAGATGATGACGGCGAGCACGAGGAAGGCTGCCGTCCAGCAGCCGTTTGTCACCAGGCCCCGGAGCACGTACGGGTTGGTGGCGGTGTAGTTGCGCAGCATAACGCCGCGCATGCTGTGCACCGGAAGGGCCTGCGGCACTGCCCAGCTCACAGTGCGCAGCAGGGCGGGCGTCCCTTCGATGGGCCACAGCACCCCTGCGGAAACGGACAGTGGCGGAAAATCCCCAAAAGGCCGGGCGCCAGGCGCGCAGTGAATTGTGGGAATGTCCTGTATGCTCCTCGATACTCCCGCTGCATTTACCGCGTGATACCGTAGACAAGGAGAAGAGGCCAGTGCTAGAATCTTCTAGATAAAAAAAAAAAAAAAAAAGCCGTATAGTGCTAACACCGTGATAGGTTGAGAGTTCAGGGGGAAGCTCCTCCCATCCTCTTTCCATTCTAGCAGAGTGAACGCTGGAGAGGGTATTGTGTTCAGCCATCACCGCCTAGAAGACAAGGCCGTACTGATCCTCCAGTGACGTCAAGGGCGTTGGCTGACGGACGCCGCGGTACTGTGTGGAAGTGAGCGAATCGCGCGTGTATTTGCCGTCGTACGAACAAGTGTTAGTGGAGAAAAACGCGCCTAGCGAGCCAAAAGTCAATCTATTAACAACATTTGGGCTCGGAAACATTTGACTGCGCAGAAGGTGATCAAGCACCCCGTGGTACGGCGAAAAAAAAAAGAAAAAAACGATTCTAGTGTGGACGAACCATCGTATGAACGACGTAATTGATAATCAAAACTTGTTTTATTAGCTATTATGCCAGGTATAAATGAATATTGAAACACAAAATATGTTTTACGGCACTTAGTACTATTACTTTGCAAGGGTATTGTTATCATTCATAACTAAGAAAAAAAGTGCGAAACAAAAATACGAGAAAAACGGTTAAAGTGCAGGCGAGCTGGTGTGGTTGACTTTCTTCTCCCCATCTCTGTCTTATTTCTGATCACCATATCGTTCTCTTTCTACCTCTCCGATCTCTTTCACTCCTTCTTTCTCGCTTTTAGTTTATTTTCGCCTTTTCTCTCGATCGTTCTTTCAAGCCCATCGAAGCACTAAAATTTGTGCACCGATGCCGTCCACTCGCTGCAACTTTTTCCGAGCGTGATTGTTTCTGCGGAAATCCGAGAGTCCAGGGTGATTTACGCCACCTAAATCTGCCTGAAGCGACAGTCAAATACGATGCTTACCTGCTTCTCAAAAAAGAGTCGAGATTCGGATTGAACGGACTTTGCATCAACACCGGAATGTGCAACTCCAAGCATCGGCGAACCGGTGATTCAGCAGACGCTATCGTCTTCAGCAGAATGATCTGATCAATCCGTCAGTGCGGAGCATTCTCCAATCCCTTAAGCCACTCATCCGAATGACCTCGGGACTTACGCCGGCAAGTCGATAAGTGGGACTATTTCGGGATCGTTACCCTTCCGTTGCCCAAGCTTGTGTGCCGAATTCACCCGCTTAGATTATAATTTATAATTATTTAAGAGTAATATTTTTAATGTTTTATCGTCTTTCCTGTGAATATTTAGGCCGATGATTTTAATAATTTTCGAAGAGCTACATCACTGGAGTTTTTTTTTCAAGACTACCTAAATTACTTTTGCGTCTAGGTAGCCGAATTTACTTCTCATACACTATGGCCACAAGGAGACGCGGCCATGCTGCAATACAGCACTGGGAGGACACGTGTTTGGCTTTGACAGCTTGTATTGGGTCGCTGGAACCGTAGCTTTTGTCGTCTGCGAAGTTACGTGAAATTGAGTGTATGGTGAACAACTTGGTTTTCGTAAAGACCTACGTTCCGCCAATTTCGCGATTTCATATTAATCACGAAAATGTTTTCCCGCGAATAATTTGCCCCCATAGCAACGACTACACCACGGATCATAAAAAATTGTGCCGGCGAAATAATTCCGAGAACGGTTGATTTCTGCGTTGCAGGTGCAGCACCGCAATCTCAGCAAAGCACGTCGAAGTTCATTCAATTGCAACATATAGCTCGGAAATAAAAAAAAAAAAAGTTGCATAGCTTTCCTAAACCTTCTCCCCCTTCGCCCCAGGCCCACCGCGGCACAGTCGCTTCTAAGCAGTCAGTTCCCGGAATGGACCTTTTCCGAGAAGCGTTCTGCGCACGCGCGAGCGCCCGATGCCAAGCGGTGGAAGTCGGCACGAAAAAATCGAGGAAATTCGGAATGAGGCTGTAAATCGACGAGTAGAACACGTAATTGCAGCATATATATAATTGTGTTACACAAAAAAAGAAAGTGGACGGAAAGAAAAACACGACGTTTGGGTGGACGCTACGGATTTCCTTCTTTAAAGTCGCGCTAGGCCTACCTCGTTGCATTAGGCACGCGACGCTGCTCAGAGAGCGAAGCAACTGGTAACGTAGCTCCCATTATTGATTGGTAGCGCAGGTCACTTCCTCGATTTTTTAGTTCGCGCAGCCACCGCCTGGTGCCGTCGGTATATGGAAAAGGTCCATTCCCTTCGGCGCAGCAAAGGGCGCTGCACTTTTCAGCACCCGTATGTTGCAAGTCTCGTAACGCGGGATCGAGGAACGTGACGTTTGTCCGCACTTACCGCCCATCAGCAGCGCGGGGTACAGGGCCGCTAGGGAGAGCAAGAGGGCCGTGGCCTCGTCCTTGGATATGGATGACGTCAGGAAGCCTGCAGGGAAGTCGTTGTGTTGCTTTCTCAGTAACCGACGGTGGTTAAAACAGAAACTAACCTAGAGTCATGAAACAAGCCTAATTAAGGGCCGTTCACAAACCTGTGCTTGGTTAGGACCGAGTTCTTGTGATCTCTTGCGACGAGAAAACACGCTGACGTTAATTAGTAATTTTTAAATAATTAGCGAACTAATTAGTAAGTATAGCGCATTTCCTGACGTTCGCCACCACAAGTGATGTGGTCCCGAGAAAATGATCATTTTACCTGGAATACACTTAGTTTTAGAAACTTTTGTCAGTACTCTTTGAAACACCCGGTGTAGTTGTTACGGACAGTTCGTTTGATCACGCAGGTGTGCACTGAAGCAACTGTGCTGTCAGGTGTCCTTGAAACGCGTGCTTGCCTGCACATCGACCTTGATACACTTCACGTCGTCGCCGCATATGGTAGTCGTACGGGATTCGGCTTTACAGTGTTTTCACCTTCTCAATGTATTGCGGCAGCGAGCTCCACGGGAAGGTAGCGGTCGCACGTCTCGAGCACCGATCAAAGCTGTGCACGGGCACTCTTCGCTTCCGAAATCCCACAGAAAGTTGACCCCGAGAATAGAAAGAACCGCTGAACTCGCGAAGCCATTGTGTTGTCTGCTAATAAGGCAAAACCGGTTTGAAACTTTTACAGGTTTTTGGTCATCGCTTTCTGGTACTGAGAGGATAGAAAAAGTATTCATGGTGAGGAATCAAGAAGACGCAATCATTACAGTATATTATATACTTTCTTATCAGACAATTTGTAACCTCTTGATTTGTCTATAAAAACGGCCCTAGCAACAGTTTGTTTGGAGCGGAGAGCCATGATGTGGACATCGTCACTTACGAAGTAAATGTAAAAAATGTTTCAACCAAAAAAAAAAAAACATAGTGCGCAAAAAAAAAAAAAAGAATTGGGAACCGCTAGTGTTTTACGGCCACCCGATAGATGGCGCCAGTGTGTTCGTCGGGAGAGATCTTAAGCGGTTTGGAGGCACACGGTCGTATGCAGTCGAAGCGTTGGAACCAGATTTGTTCGCGGCTTCTCAAACGTTGTTGAAGTTTGCTTTTCCAGAAGTTGGGCCGATCAGAGCAGTCGGTCAGCGGCAGCTCACCGGTTACGACGGTTTTCCTTCTCGCTTATATTTGATGGCGGCGTTCATAGTCGCCAATGGCGTATGCTTCGTGCGCTGGTGCCTTATGAAAAGAAAGAATGTGCCTTTTTGCGCCTTTTTAGGTCAGAGAGCAGATAAATACAAGCACTTAGGTGTATATGGATTAGAGGAAAAACAGATTCCCTCAGCAAATACGAAACATTTGTTACGAATATATGGTAGAGCGAAGAACAAAGGCAATGTTCAGAATTGAGGCACTATAATACCCTAATTACATGGGCACCCTTAACCGCAATTAAGTCTGGCCTCAGTCACCCCCAACTGCGTTAAGAATACTCTGTGACTGCGGAATCAGCCAGCGGTCATGATATTTAATCATCATGAGGACTAAAAATACAAGAATCAATATAAGAGGCAAGACTGGACATACCGAAATTCATCCCGCAGAAGGCCATGGTCACCGGGATGACGAAGCACATGAGCAAGCTGCCTCGTATCGGCGCGTCGAAGACATTCACGAACACGATGAGCATAAAGACCGTCTGCATGTACGCCAGCGCCATCTGGACCAGGGCGTGCCCAATGATTACCTCCATCGAGGTCACGCCTAAAACGGGAAGAGCTGTCAACGGGCTGCAGTCGTCGCGGCGCTTCCAGATCGTACGCAGACATTCCTCAAAATGAATGATATTGTTGCTTGTTCCTTCCTCGCCCAAGCAGCCTGATTCACGTATTTGTGTTCGAGTGGGATCGACGTCGTTTAACTGCTTGTAACCGCACACAACGAGAGAACATACTGGTGCAATGAGTCTATCGGACGTAGACATCTTGGAAACAATTAGCGCAGAGAACAAAGACAAGATGAAGATACGAACAGGACTGGCGCTACCATCAACTGAGTGTTTAATGGTTGCTTCGTATGGTGTGTATGTCTAACGCCTGTATGTCTGTAGGCATGTATGTTTAATGTACTATAATCGAAAGTGTGCATGTGAATGAACCGTACTTGATCGAATGAAACACATTTTACGAACCTACCGAAAGACAAAATCTTTGGCGGATTTTGTCGTTCCACGGAATCGTAACTTTTCTCTTTTTTTTTTTTTTTTTTACGAGGTAACATTTGCATAAATTTTTTCTTATTTCCTTTTTGGAGACCAGGTACGATGATGAAAGTGCCCGCAATAGGCTTGAGGTGTGCATGGGTGTCGAACCGAACCCGAACCGAAAACCAGAGCAAAACCGTTAGTTTTAACCGAATGGGGAAAACAAAAGAAAAAAAGAAGAGGAACTGAAATCAAGCATGTAAATTGAGCCTGAACCGGAACAGCCCCGTAATCTCATGTGGCGCTTGCCGGTTCATTAGAAAACGGTTCGACGTAATAAAATTAGAACCGCGCCCGGCGTCTGCGGCGCAGTTTTGACTAGACAAACGACGGCGACGTAGAAACAGCTCAATAACAGAGCTGGCCAAATTACTCATATTTTGTAATTAAATTACATTACTAATTACTTCACTGAAAATTGCTGAAACGTAATTAAATTACATTACAAATTACCACAGCCAGCAAGTAATTAATTACCATTACAAATTATTTTTAAAAGTAATGACATTACTTTCGCATTACTTTTGTATACTTTTAAATATAAAGGAGCTGTTGATAACTTCCTTTTACAGATAACTTTATTTACATTATTTACACAGTTCATGGCACACAGCTAGAACTCTCTGTTGCATGTTTACCGATGGACAGAGGAACGCACGCGACTGATCCGCTTCCCACCCCAACCCGGACAACTATTTTTGGAAATGACTGAGGACCCTACGCGGATTATCTCTGGGAGGGGGAGAACACTTGTCAGTGTTCGCAAAATCGCGTCGAGGGCCGTTCCACCAGGGGCCTTAGTTCGACCTACTTCCCCTCCTTCGTTTCTCGAGAATGTCGAGCAGAAAAGCGCGAATGGAAGGCACTTACCAGCCCTATTTCTCACAGTGGAAGATAGCATAGAGAGGGTATGCAATATGCATCAGAAAAAGTAAGCGGAAACGTTCAAGAGGGGCCAGAAAACGTCGAATGCAAAACCGCAAAATATAGGTAGAGCATCGCGCTGAGCGGGTTTTCACAGTTCAAGAGAGTGGCAGAAAATGTCTAGCTGATAGCGGGCGCGACAGTCGCACCAGCCGCATTAGCATTAGCAACATAGCGGCGGCCAAAGAGCGTTTTTTGGAAAGGTGTAGAGGAAAAAGAAAAAGTAAAATAAAAAGAAAAGCGCTCTTGTATGTATTGTGGACACAAAAAATATGCCTGGTGCGAAAAAGTAATTAGGTAATTTAATTACAATTACCGTCGCTAGAGTAATTCATTACATTACTAAATTACCTGCTACAAAAAGTAATGAATTACATTACTAATTACTGGAACAAGTAATTAAATTACTGTAATTTCATTACTGTAATTACATTACTGCCAGCTCTGCTCAATAATAATGAAACAAAAAAGAATTTGACGTTTATGCGCAATACGACTTGGCGTCGGCGCGGTGGCGTGCACTTCTATACTTTTTTTTTCACCTTACCATGGACCGCAAAGGACGGGACACCGAAGCCAATCCATAGCTCGGATCGTCTCACGTGCCCTTCCGGTTGGGCGGTGCGACGCGGGGAGGACGAAGTCACGTGACAAGCTACGAGCTGTGGAGTGGCGCGGGCGTAGCGTCCATCATGGAACATAGTAAAGTGAAGCGGTATCTGACTATGCCAAGAGGCTACAGAGGTATTCCTTCTGTGGTGTGTGTGTGTGTTTCTTTCTGCTGCTAAGCAATTTTTCTGAAGGAGAGAAAAATAAAGTACAGATATCAAAAACAAAAATAAAAACAGTCTACGGACTTCGGCGCGTTTATTCCGCGCTGGCAAAATCCAAAACAGCCCACAGCCCCTGCAGGACGCTGCTTGAAAACGCACAAAGCATTCTTGCTTTGTTTCTAAAGCGGCATGTCTCCCGTTTTCTTTTATTTACGTTTTTGTTTTCTTTTAATCATCTTTAGAACGCCGTTCACCGTCTTTCTCCTCTTGAACTCAGTCGTTCGAGCAAGGCGTGCGGGATGGGTAGTCTCCGAATTCCTACGTTATACACGGTGCGTGCTACCGTCACGGTGTCGCTGTGCGTCCCGGCTGATTGACTATTCACATGGGACTATATACTGCGGTTTGGTTTCTGATCGCTTGCATGACCACTTAATTTGCGTAGAACGGTGTTTGCGATAAAAAGTCGAGATGGCGAGACGAAATTAAGCCTATATGTGTTCTGCTATCCTCATTCCCGCAGCACGGCTTCTGATGACCTCTTTTTTTCTTTTTTTTAATGTCGAAAACGCCCCGTTAAATGCACGTTTTTTTTTTTTTTTTTTTTTTTTTAACGACTTGGAGTCGTGTATTTTTCTTTTTAAGAACCGGTCCGAACCAGTTTGCGCTTGATAGAACCGGGAACCAAAACGTTATTTTGAATTCATCACTGAGCCGGAATCGAGACGGAACCGAACCGGAACATAATGCAAAGCTACTGAACCCGAACCGAACCAGTGTAATGACCGGTTCGACTCCTTGGCATATATCTGTTGTTTAATGGACTCGTCTTACACTTCTTATACATTAAATACTCATTTGGCGCGCTTGTACTGTCTGGTCTTTTGCACTAATTGCTTTCAATGTGTTTATCCATCTATCCAAACAGTTAATTTCTATTCTCTGGGTACCCCTGGAACTATTCCGACCCGCGTATGATTTACGCATCATCCTTTACATGAAGACATTTTGTCAATGATACTAACGACCATTTATTATATTCAGCGCGTAAACGTAATCTCGCAAATAAAAAAAAAAATAAATAAAAGAAAGTTTAGGTCTAGTCATACGCAGATCGGAATTCGTATTCCGTGGCTACCTGTCAGATGGCGTCCCACTCGCTTCCAGCAAGTGTGTCGTGAGGCCGTGTCACAGCAACACCGGAACGTCAGAGGGAATGTATATTTCTTAGAACACTTTATAAGGTTACTGGGTAACTGCTGAAAATTATTTACATTACGGTAGTATTTGATTGCCATGCTATTTGCAGAATAACGTCCCGTAACAGATTCCGCATGGCGGAAACATTGGGTGCACACTTTGCCGCACGCTTCGGGTCGGCATATCACACCGTCAGAGGCCTTACGCTATACGCGACAGGTATAGACTTTTGCAAAAATCGGCTTCTGCGCGCCGCCATCTTGGTCTAAAGGGCTGTGGAACGCTTTCTGAGCATGCGCTGTTGATCTGTTGTGCGGTATATCGAACGCTGCGCATGCGTTTACAGCTCAATGACTCAGCATTTTTCTTCAGGGGGATAAGCGTTGCAAAGGTCTATGCCCTGAACTCGACATGGGCACTCTTGCAGTTTACATTTACGTGTCATTTCCGAACATTCCACGACGCTTCTGTTCCGTCAGTGCAACTTTCAGAGACGAACCGCGAAATTGGGCGATCGCCTGATCTTTGCTCATTCTGATCTACAACGTTCCTTTTCATTGAAAGGAAGGAACTCTGCTTATTTAGGCCAGGACCGAATCTCGCAGCAAGATAAATTCCTGCGTCTACACGCGTTTTCGAACGCTCAAATGTCTTTCTGAGCAGTTTATCCGAAATCAAATTGGGGGAAAAAAAACACAAAAAAAAAAAAAAACAGCACGAAAGACGGATGACAAGGGGAAGGGGCATACAAACACAAACTTCTGCACGATACAGCACGTAAACATTAAGTCGACCGGATAGACATATAAGCGACTACGTTCCCTAATCATGCCGATACAAACTTCCCGACTTCCTAATAAATTCAACCACGTAGTGCTTACACACGTGGCTGCGTCATTTTATCTTTTACCTCATGTCGACCTTCGTTAACTTTGAAGGCGATATACCTTTTGCAGCAGAGCGGTATCTGTATTGGGTCGAGCGTTGCACCCGTCCTCAATGACATTTATTTAGCGAAGTGTGACAGGGCCATTGATGAGACGTTAGATGAACGGGTGCTGAAAGTGCTTAGGTATGTCGATGATTACCTTATTGTGCTGAAATTTAATGAGAACTCAGGGGGTGAGAATAGCGGTTTCTAGGATGTTGGGTATGTTCACGGAATGTTATTCGGGCCTTAAGTTTCAGTGTGAGACCTCGAATGAGGGTGCCCTACATTTATTTTTATCTCAATCTTTGATGTGAGCCCTCCCATTTGTGTTGGTCTTATGAGCCTATAGGTCTAAGAAGGGCTCCTTGGTTACGATTTGGCTCACTCTGAGATTGTGAAAAGGGCAATTAAATTGTCTAGTCTTCGCGCCTCGTTGTTGAAGTCGTGCCATCATGTAGGTGCGGCGATAGTTTCCTGATGGCGATGGCTTCTCTTTGTGGGTCGTCGGGGGAGTTGTAGAGTCATTGATCAAGGTGTTTAGGGGGCCATTTTGTTCCATGGCAAAACAGACACTCGTTTTAAGACCTGTGGTCTTGCCGTGTGTTCGTAAGCTGTCGGTGTTAAGAAAGCTGCCAGTAAAAACGACTTACACGTTTCTTTTTCCATCATCCAAGCTGTTAAAATTATGTGCAACTATTAATCGAGGTGGACGTCCGGGAGCACAATGTGAGGTCAACCTCCGCAACCGGTACACGTTGCCTGCACATGTGTGGCAGTGTACCTAATCCCTTTCTCCTGTTGCAGTACGTATACATTGCACAGACGGGGACGTGCGTCCGGGTGAGGGAGGACTCCCTTTCCTTGCGCTCCTCGCCGTCTGGCTATCTCGCGGCCCATTGTGATAGATGTGCATGTTCTTCGCTATATTATGATATTAAGATTTTAACAAGTCACAGAAGCAAGACTGTCAGAGAAATTGACGAGGCTTTCCTTATTGACAGTTATGACAAGGGCATGTGTCTAAGCGCTGCGTCGGAGCCCTGGCGGGTGATGAGGTTGAATTTATTAGCACGTCGGGTAAGTTTGTGTTGGCGGCATGACTGGTAAATTGTGGGGGAGGGGGGTTATTGGGTTGTCTGTTTTTGCGTCTGTCCCGTCCAGTTTATGCTTGCTTGCTGCATCATGCACAGATAAAATTTCAGCTATTGCACCTGTCCATTACACGTTGGGCGGAGGACGGTATTATCATGACTGTGACAACTGAGAAAAAAAAAACACTCTTGAAGGACATTTAACACGCACACCACGAGATGTGGCTCTGCTAACACATTTAATAACGTTTGCTGTCCGAGAGCATAATATAAACCTGCGAATTGCATTGCGACAATTGAGCTCAAATAGTGTTCACTCCCAATGTTATATATTAATGCGAAAGCATTAACTGGGGGGGTCCCATGGAGCGAGCCGACGTCATCAGCTCCAAGTGAGGCCAGCTCCTACGGCACCTAGTTTCCCCGATCCCAAAGGAGCAGAGTAAAGTTGATGGATTTCGGCTTCGGTCCGATTGGCTGACGCGCGTCGACGAGGCTCCCATTGGCCGCTTCGCGTCAGTTTCAACGACGACCACCCCATGGCGCTGCGTGTCCGTGCCGCGAGCGCGCCGGTAACACGAGGCGTCCAAGGTCAGGACGGCAAGGAGAGCTGGGAGAGCGCGCGATCGTCCGACGCAAATACGGTAGACGCAGAAGAACGACAAGCATGCTTTCGCATTCGCAACTCATAAGAAGTGTTTAGGTCTACCTCGAGCCTTTTTTTAATGCCTTATATGTGTTTAAGTATCTAAGTTGAAAACATAGAAATTAACTTCACCAGAAACTCAACACATATAAAGGAAATAATAAACAGCAAACATTTTTCGGCTTATTATTTCCTATCGATGCTTACTTTTACTAACATGCTCCCGAAAAAATTTTTTAACCTTATTAATTTTTTTTTTCGACTTTTGTGATCTGGCGTTTTGAGTTGTGTAACTGTCAAAAAAGTCTCCGCAGAAACTTTTTTTTTTTCAT